ACTACACACAGCTGGCTGTCTCCTGGGTGTCCAAGGCGGCTATCCTGGATGTATCTCCTCTGAACACCCTACCTCTTTATCCACCACCCATCCCCTACCCATCTGGCACTCTACCATCCCACTCAATTCACTTACTTTGTCTTAGTAAGTTGTTAAAAAGACTTGGGGGCTTTTAAACAACATTTACTTACTGCTGTAAAAAAGTGGGAATGGCTTCTGTGATGATTTACTCTGATGCCACCCGCATGATCTGCTGGGCTGTGTCTGTTGGGATGGATCCTGCATTTGGAGATTGAGCTTAATGTCTGGACTGAGTTGGAAATAAGGAAATGCAGACATTTGGACCAATGTGACAGTGCATCCTACAATGACTGAGGAATGATTAATACATTTCTGATACAGCCGTCTATTTAGACTTTATAGTTGGAGACAGTCGAAGAAATTCTCCACACAAGTGAGAAAGGATCATTCCTTGCATACACTGTCTAGCTGCCAATATTAGCATCAGTTTCACACTGTCTGCTGTAGTTTATGGCCTGATGAGATTTGTCACTCATTAGTGCCTCTTTTGAGACTTTCCTCACCATTTCAAGATTGGAGCATAAACCTTACAAGACTTATTTTCTTTGAGGCCATAATTAGGTGGGGCAAAAGGATGTCTAAAAACAACAGCACTTTCTTTTTAACCATTGGGTTAGATGGCTGTTTTGATTGTCATGGGCTGAAGAGACCTCTTTCTGTGGTGTAAATCTCTATGACTCTGTTGCTCATACGTGATAGTGGATTGAGAGAAATTGGTGAGGAAACAAAGTGAATGGGTTTGCATTTTTAAGATTTAATGTTCATTACGATTTTGCATCACTCTCGTCCTTCCAGCAGGTGTTTCATTAGGTAAGAGTGCGGATTGGGAATTCTGCTTCATTACTGTCAACCCAAAAATCTATAGATCAAATCTATAGATGCTCAATACAGAGAGGACCAAATCTTCTAAATGGGTTTTTAGTGAAAGGGACCATGTAATTCTTCACTGATGGTAGCTCGGTGGCTCAGTAATCAGCACTGCTGCCTCACAGTACCAGGGACTCAGGTTCGATTCCAGCCTTGAGCTGATGTCTGTGAGGTGTTTGCACATTCTCCCCATGTCTGCATTGGTTTCCTCTGGGAGGTTCTGCGAAGTAGGGGCAGGTTGCTGGGATGCAGGGAGACAGGGCCAGGTGAGTGTTTAAGGTGGTTGTGGTGGGTGGGTAAACTTGGGTCTGGCTGGGAATGGGGAGGGTAGGTGTTAAATTCAGGGCTAGTTTCAGTCACAAGGGAGGGAGAGGAAGATTGGGTTGCTGGGGGAGGGGGAGG